TTATTATTATTATTATTATTATTATTATTATTATTATTATTATTATTATTATTATTATTATTATTATGCATAAGTACAATTATTATGTTCATCATCATTCTAATTTACACTTTAAACAATAATTATAAGTCTTATTATTATTATTATTTTAATTATTATTATATTTATCGTAATATCTGTTGATATTGTACCATTGTATTATTATTATTATTATGATTATTATGATTATTATTATAACATAATATCCGTTAGTATTACCAATTTACCAATACCATTTTATCATTACCATTACTATTACAACCATTGTTAGTTAGCATAAAAAAAAAAAAAAGAAAAAGAATATCTAGATTATCTCTCGTATGAAGATAAATTGATCGATCGAATTGGAAAAAAAAAAAAAATTGATAACGAATATCTCGTCTCGTTTTGATACTAAAAATTTTCTGTATTTTATCAATTCTTTTTTTTTTCTTTTTATTCCCAAGTGCCTAAAAAGTTTAATTAATCGCAAATATTAATTAATATTGATTAAAGATTTGGCCAATATTAATAATAATAATTAACAATTCAATCAACGACGAGATCATTTGGAAATACATTATTTTCTTTTCTTTTCTTTCTTTTTCTTTTTGCAAATTACTTTATTTTTTAATTTTATTCTTTACTCTGTGTTTCTTTATATAATATATACATATATGTATAATATATTACATAAGTCATTATTTATTCGAGTGTGCCTGGGTTCTTAGATATATTATATAAAGTTATATATATATTATTAATATTATCATTATTATTATTATTATTATTATTATTATTATTATTATTATTAATATTATTATTATTACACCATCATACAAACATACACACCAATTTCGCATGGCATGTGCTGCTTTCTCTCACTCACTCTCTCTCTCCCTCTTTTTTTTTTATTCTCGTATTAAATTTTTATGGTTAAATTCATTCAATTCAATTCAATTCAGTTCGTTCGTTCGTTCGTTCGTACGTTCATTTTTATTTTTCCTTTTTTATTTTAATATTTTTACTTT